TCATCAGTGTAAACATATTTCTGAGCAGAGGATTGCAAATGATTTAGCCATGTTTCAATCCATAGTTAATGGCAGTATCAGAAAATGAGTGAGCCAGGAGAATTCCACCTCCGAGACCTTTGTGGAATATGTTTGATCTCCTAAACCTTCGGCGAGTTTAGCCTCCGTGGCTGTAGACAACCTCAGGAAGTCATTTTCATAAAGCACAGCCTGTAAAAAGACGTCCACACTGATCTGAGGTGGACATGAGGACAATAAAACCATCAGATAGGGGTTCAGATGGATGAACTGTCCAGAGCCCACAACCAGCCCCGTTATCTGTGGCAGTACAACTGAATACTCTTTCACTAGGTGGCAGCACAAGGATGTAAAAAAGAGAGAGACTCTGAGCCCTTCAATCAGATCTTTATGTGTCTTTCTTCAATTCCTGGGTCTATATCAATCTTATGTTCAACTAAACAAGTTTCACACTTCACAATATGAGTAAAGTGAAACTAGAAGATTACTACGTATACTTTTGGGATATATCTGTTTGCCCATGCACTGGGATTTGTTCTAATGTAAAATACAAGTTGCAGCTCGGAGGTTGAGAAACACACATTAAGTTTGACAACCTTAGCTCTGCTGAAAGTGTCTAACTCCTTGTGGGACGTGGACTAACCCTCCTGCAGTCCAGATCTGTCTCCTATTAAAAACCCCAATACGTAGACAAAGATGGATGAACTGTGACCACGGACCGTTGAACAGCTGAAGTTGATTGTTGGTCTTATCAGCCTTTTTCTTAAGACAACCAACAAAAGTGCATTTACTTTGTGTGTGTGTGTGTGTGTGTGTGTGTGTGTGTTTAAGGCTTCCTTTCTTTAGCCCCTTAAATTAATTTGTCAAACAGCAAAGATTATCTTCCTATCTGGGCTCTGCTCGAACACGGGTAATGTTTATGATGAGCAAACATTCTTCCAGATTTAATTAAGAGATCCCACACTTGCATTGATCCATGGGAAATATAAATTGCGCTGGTGTATTTAATTAGTCTATATCTTTGCCCTTTGTGTCACTGGGGTTGATAGAGCGCCATGCTCGGCAAATTAATCTTAATCAGCAAAAGACTTGAAACAAAAGCCTGATAGGAATATAGAAGTGGATGATCCTCATTATTCCAACCTTACATCTGCACTTATTCTGCTGTCAGACGTAACGCCGTACAGACGTACAGTAGCTGGGTTCGAGTTCACAGGTCTGTAGACGGAGTCGACCTCAACCTTTTGCTGGTGGAAACTCATCATTCATATAAATTGCCTAATTTAACAATGTACATAAATTATCAACATCCCAGTGGAGATCACTCTGCTGTAACTCGCTGCCTCCTGACCCTCACTGTCCAGGTGATTCCACACTGATGTGTTTATGGAGGTGTAGGTTAATCTTTTATAAACCCTCAGTGTCACAGTGTTTTGTTCAGGAGAACAATTGAACTGAAGAACCCG